AAAAAAAAAAAAAGCAAAGTGGTCCCCTTATGGAGTGCAACGTCACTTGACCAACCCCAAGGTGCCTTTTAGCCAGGGGAATTATATCCCTGTTTGTTACGCCACTTCCTGGTCAGTATACAGTGTTGTGCAGTATAGACGAGTTATAATCCTTGATGTTTGGCTTTTAGCTTTCTTCCTGTGCATTTCACAGTGTCCTTGAGCAATTTAATTGATTACAATCAAATCATTGGCAAATAAGATTCTTTATAGATAATATGGAGAAACTGACAGTTTAAGAACATTTTGTTACTGGTGATACATTTTGTTGGTATATTTTATTTCTTTTTAGAGCTACAACTCATACAGACCTAATACTGAGAGCAAGAAAAGAAGGGTTAAAGTACCAGGTGATTCACAATGCCTCAATCATGAATGCTATTGGCTGCTGTGGTCTCCAGGTAAGAATTTTTATTTACTAGATACAATAGTTATTAATTATAGTGATGATAATGATGATACTGTAAAGTGATGACTATGCTTATGATCATATTAAAGAGTGATGATGATTGTGGATGTCGGATTGGATCAGATTTGTTTGCAGTGTAAACACCTAAGATAACCCACAAAAGTCTGAAGAAGACTTACTTCCAGTGGGTTCCTTCTGATGGTGATTGGACAGCACACTGGGAGACAATCCCCTACTCTATTCCGAAGGGTGTACTGCATTCTTTAACATGCACATGGGCCATAATGCGCACAGACCAACAGCTTAAACGTCTCATTTGACAGATGGTACACTTTCATAACTTGTATTTCAGCCCTCCAGCTGAAATACAGAATAAGGGCAGCAATGGGAATTGAACTGGGAACAAAGAGATTTCCATGGTTCAGCACACACACAGTGGCTACTACCAGTGTAGCCGATTGAACTAGCTGCTTCATTTGTCAACAATGATGATGGTAGTACACAATAATACATAAAAAATAGTGTTGTGGCTCCACAGAAATCTGATGTAAAAGACTATCTGATCTACAGAGTTGATTGTGATGATAAGTATTGAAGTATAAGTCTGGAAGTATTTAAAAGGTGGGGCTTATGGGGCGGGGGAACAAAGGTAAAGTGGGGTTAAGTGTTAATTGTTGAGCCCGTCTATTAATATTTAAAATTGCAAATGACAGAAAATCTCCCACACTCAGATGATATCTACTATTAACCCCCAATATAAATCATAATATTTTAATTTCACATCTTTGCAACTTATCTCTAGGAGTGTTCGAAATACCCCAATACCAGCTAGTTATTGCATAGTCAAAGAGACTAAAAGCAAGGGCCGACATAATAATTTTTTAACTATCTCTATCCAAAAATCTGACCGTATCCAAATTTTAATCGATTATTAACTTTATCTATTATGCTATTAACAATAAATGTACCTTTAAGTTCCTGGTCAAGTTCTAATCCTAAATAAGTTAAGCTTTTTATTTGGAGAAGTGTGCACCCTTCACCCCGGACCCCCTAGATACACCACTGGCTATAACCTTATTACAAATCTTTATACAATTTTTAACCGCTACTTTTTACTTTGAACATATTCAATACTGGTATTTATGATTCTGCTGACAACTTACCGAAATTGATCTTTCAGCTGTACAGTTTTGGTGAGACAATATCAATTGTGTTTTGGACAGAAACTTGGAGACCGGATAGCTTCTATGAAAAAATTGCATCGAACAAGCAACGAGGGATGCATACCTTATGTTTACTTGATATCAAAGTCAAGGAACAATCTATAGAAAACTTAATGAAGTGAGTTTAGGTAAATTTTGGGTACTAGTAATGTCTGGATTTAAAAAAAATCTTATATTGAGACTAATAAGTAACTGTTTAATCTTTGAGTCCTTATAGTTCAATCATTGCTGTCTTAGCTGGAGGCCTAAAGTCCAAGTTACTATAGTGCACCATCTTTTTGAAGAAATATTTGATTCATTTGTTTTTGTGCATCAGGTCTATGTGCTCATTTAATAATGATTGCTTCTAATAAAAAATGTTTTCTACCTGTTAGCACACATGCTGTAATGAAAAATTGAGACAATTTTGCTTTTTATCCACAAAGAAAGGCGCTATATAAATCACAGAATAAAATAAATAATACAGTACTTGTTTTTCTATATTTTGGTAGGTAGCTAAAACAATATTAACAAACATTTTGGCTTAAAAAATTGTACACCTGTGAGTATACTTGAACATGAGATTTGTAAATAATGAAGTTGATAATTTATAACTGATTAAATTGCAGAGGAAATAAGATATTTGAACCTCCAAGATTTATGACTGTTAACCAAGCTGCCTCTCAACTTATTGAAATTATACAAAAACGAAGAGATGCCGAGAAAGACTTAGGTAAGATTTAAACTTTATATGAAGGGTAAACTGCAAAAATCTGTTATGACAGAGTATATCTCAATGATTGCAATGATGATGCTACATTATGGAAAGTATATCAAGCATTAACAATATCATCATCAGCATCATCATCTTTTATTTAAGTCAGGGTTACTGACTTTCGCACGATGTTGACACTTTGTGTCATCATTTCACTATTGGAGATTGTTTTTTACAGTGAGCCTGCCCTGGAATACCACTGACCCATTACCCTAGGGGAATGGGTGGATTCATCCGTGCTTTAACAGGTCCTACTTTTAATCCTGTCGGAGGTCCATACAGCCTCATCAGAGTTTATAGCTTATTTCCAGTTGGCCTTTCTGGTAGTGAATGGGCAATACAGTAACAATGGGAGACAATCCCCTTCTCTTTTCAAAGAATGTACTGCGTTCTTTAACATGCAAATGGGCCATATTACAGATGGGACCAACAGCTTAAATCTCTTCTGAAAGACGGTGCACATTTTATATTTGCATTTCAGCCCTCCAGCAGAAACATAAACAGAGCAGCAGGTGGGATTGAATCACTAAAGGTTAACAATTGATCGCCATGGTTCAGCGCACACACAACTATCAGTTTAGCTAAATGAGCTATGCTGCTAGTTTTCAGCCATGAGTGCTGTTTGTGGCATACTGTATACTGTACACTATTAAGTATACAGTATAGATAAATTTTACATTAAAATAATGTTGATCTATTTTTCCCAGCTTTTACAGAAGACTCGATATGTGTTGGTGTAGCAAGAGTCGGGTCTGACACTCAGCAAATTGTGTCAGGTACTATCCAAGACATGACCGTGGCAGACCTTGGAGGACCTTTACATTCACTGGTTATTGCTGGTAATATGCATCCAATTGAACTGGAGATGTTGAGGGAATTTTCTGTTGATAGAGGTCTTTTTGATAAGCTTTTGGAAGATGCAAGGTAGTTTAGAGGAAGAAGCAACTTACTTGAAAGAAGGAATAAATTATAACATAATGCAGAGTGGGGACACTACAATGTGTTTGATAGTAGGCAGACCCATAACCGGGGGGGGGGGCGGGTGGGGGGGGTTCCGGGGGTTTGGATGAACCCCGCCGTTTGCTAGCTTTAGATGGCAAAAAATAAAAAATCTCAAAAGAAGATTGCTTAAACTTAAAAAAAAAACAAACAAAAAAAAACACAACCCAGTTCAAATAACCTTTATAGACAGTAGCAACTTTTAATACAAGTTTCAAGATGGAACTCTTATTTATGTGGTCAGTGCAATTGGTTGGAATTCAGCGCACTGAATTCCCCTTGTGTTTCAGCTGGAGGGCTGAAATAAAAATTATAATTCGGATGAGACATTCAAGCCGTTGGTCCTGTGTGCATTTATGGCCCATGTGCACTTTAAAGAATGCAGTACACTCTTCGGAAAAGAGTTGGGGATTATCTTCCGGTGTACTGCCCAATCACCACCAGAGGGACCCCACTGGAAATAAGTCTTCTAGATTTTCGTGGGCTGTCCTTGGTGTTTTCATCGAATAAATCCAATCCAAACCATGGTTATCACCATGCACAGTAAAATAAAATTAGATGTGTTCTTTCAACTTGGCACCCCTGATTGTCAATCTTGATGTTTTAAATGTTTGTGTACATTTTATGAAACACTAATTATTTAACACCGATGCCATAATGTCATCCTATTTCTTTCAAAGAAAGTTTATTCAATTAGTTTATGATAAAATTCTGTGGTATGTTCAGTTTTACAATAATAAGCAAGCACAAAACACAGAAATTAGTACATAGATAATACAGCAAAAATATTGTGCTAAATAAAAATCATAATTGTAAAGGGTAGAGAAAGTATATTACTGATTTTCAATTCATATTCTACCAATCACACACATGGCCTTCCACATAATTCTCTATCATGTGACCTCTCGCAGCTTGTAAGTACAGCAGAGTGCACCCTCCAATTCGAGACCCCTCTATTCGAGAATACTTTTCCAAAGACCCAAATGACAATCTTCAACCTTAAAACACAAAGCTAGCCCTCTAATTGGAGACAATCTCCGAGACCACCCCAAATTTTCAGGTCCCAAAGGTGGTCTCGAATTGGAGGGTGAACTGTAGTTTGAATTATAAATACAGAAGAAATATTGATATAGACATTTTGTGACATCTCTAAGGCATTGGTATTTTGAATAAATAATTAAGATAAGAAAACAAACAGTAGTCTACAGTAATAAACAAAGCCAAAAATAGTTTAAAAAATATATTTACATGAACTAAATAAGAAATACATTACATTTTATATCATTTACAAAATTATCTTGAACAAGATGTGTATTAATATATTTACTTCATCTTAAAACCACACACGACAACATAAAGAACACACAAAGAGTAAGGGGAATGAGCAGTGGTGGTGCCAGCTTCTGAAATCTGGGAGGGAGAGCAAGGTACAATTTGGGGGCTGTCTCTTATACGGGGCAAGGTCCCGCAAAGTGGGCGTGGTAGGGCGTTGATTAAAATGTTTTGAAAGTGGTCCAGGTGTGTAGAGCCCCCTAAAAAATATGACAATTTAGGGGTTTCAGAGGATTTTTTATACAGATAGTATACTAATATGTAGAAAATATATTTTTTCTACCCGACAGATTGTGGTTTTTCTTCTTTTTTTTTTTGGGGGGGGGGGAATATCCCCTTGCCTCATAGCACTGCCAGTGGGAATGAGAACTCATTATGTCATAAGTACCATAAACATACTAAAACCCTGATTTTCTTTGACAAAAAACTGTTGTATGATGTGCCTTTATATGGTCATGATGTGATGTCATCACAACCATATTTAGGTATGGTACAAGTTTTTTATCAAATAAAATTTGATAGTGTGGACAGGACATAAGATGCATGGCAGGAAATTAGATATTCTCATAAAATCAGTATATAATAAGTATGGAGAACTTACTGCTGTACATTACAGTACATTGTAATATTGTGACATTTAAATGGTTTAAAGCTGGTAGAATAAAGTGAGCAAAAAAAAAAAGGTACTGCACGGTGAACAACCGTTGCCAACTCGGGTGTTGTAGCAGTCCATAATTTCTTTGCTTTTCTGAATAGTTAAAATTGGGGACTTAATTGAGAGTATTCAAGGTAAATAAGTACATAAATAGTAGAATATGAATATTTGTATGTTGAGAAAAATCATGAAATGGTAATGAAGACATATATTATTTACTTAATTACCATGTTTATATCAACAATAGACAAGTTTGGTCCAATGGTTAAGATTCTATGGGTAGGAGTTATGTATGCCAAGTTTTCTTTAAAAATGTGGATGTGGTCAAGAAAAACTGTGCTGCAAAGGTAACCTTTAAAAGAAATTTAAAAAATTATACCTAGCACCATTGATTTTTAAACAACCCTAAATTCATGAAATATAGAAAAAAAAAATTACACACAGTAGAAATACAATAAAAATATTTAAATGGATACCTAGGTTTAATCAGGATTTAGATTGGAGTTTACTTCTGACCATTACATTTTGTCCAGCGATACTGATGCAACCATTGGTAAAAGTAAATTTTGGTAGAACCAAGACAGCCATTGACTCTTTTTAATACCAATACCATTGGTTCAATGTTACTTTAAATATCCAGAGTGTGACTAGCACATTTTGTTAACCTTCATAACCATGGTACAACCTTGGTAACCATTGGTAACACAATTCAAATAGGCACCAATTTAATAAATTGTACAACCAAACCCATTGGTATGAGTTTCTTAAAGCTGTTTTTCAGGCTAGTGTCATTCATTCTTTCAAAAAGCCTAGCCTTGAATACACTAGTCCAACTGAACAGGTAACAAAAATAGTTTTCCTCATCTGAGCCTAGTTTAAACAGCTGCATAATCTATTTGTACATAAAGCTGCCTTATTCCAACCTGCAATGCAAAAGACAAATCAGTCATGATAAGACAAATAAATGAAATTAAATAACATGACAATTCTTAAAAATTAGTTGACTCGGTTAACCTTAAGTAATATCAGGTGATACAGATATTATGCCAACATATAAAAATGTCACAGCTTCCAAGCAACAGAACCCCAACATTGTATACACACAGGCCAACACTTTAAATTAGCATCTAGGTCTAGTGGGCACTTTAAAAAAATACCATGTAATATTATGGAGTGTTACACATACCTGATAAAATATGTTGTGTGTTTGACTTAAAATATATTTAGCATCTGCATTAGGAGCAACTTCAACTTTAATCGTTCCAACAAATACATCAGTACACAATGTCCAGAAATGTGGCTCATGTACGCTGTACACACCCTCAAGCTGACTTACCTATAAAATAAAAAAAACATTTAGTTAAACACACAAATAAATTTATTAATTTTTGTAAAATCATAGAAAGGATTAATTGGATTATATTGCATCTAATTATCTAACATTGAAAAAAAATAATGGTCTGCTTTTCATCTACTAAAGACATAATCGGCGACCTCAATGACATGTCCTATACACCATTCCATTTACTGAGACTATTCACATTGTCTGCTACCAACGTAGATATTGGTATTGTACATACATACATTATTTTGTTGTCAGTGTGATCTATTCTAAAGATTTCGCACAAGGGTATGTTCATTCAATGCACATTGGGAGACATCGGTAAGGCCTCCAGACTACAGTATATTTATAATCTTAGACAGAACTTTATGCGAAGTAGACATTTATAGAGTACTACAGTGTTACGTCACGATACCACGTGATACTACTCTGTTGCTATCGGTGATACACAATTCGTTCAACCGGATGCTAATTTCTAACGTCAGATGTTGTATCTTAGTTTTTCTTTGTAAATTTTAATTGATGATTAAATGTGTGTTCGATAACTAATATAATGCGAGCTTTTGTGTGTTTAGTACATTTTAAAAAAGCCTATTCTAAACCATTAAGATTATGAAGTCATTCAGGTGTAATGAGAGGTAACCAACATCCGGTTGACAACAAACGACTGTTGTACTCTATGCAGATTTAATAAGCATCATGTCAGGCCAGATGTATGGTCTCAAATGTTTTTCTATGTCAATCATACAGATTCAGATCTCAATTTTTTCCCCCTATAGTTTATTCACTTTATAACGTCTCACTGACTTACTCTTTGGAAACAAAGTGGCAATTCGCCATCTAAAGACGGAGGATTCCTCATCATCAGAATACTTCCAGAATCACGTAGTAAAGGCAATACACTACCGAAAAATAATAAAAAAGAAAGGTTATAGAATTTCAGTTACCATTTTATTTGCAGGCACAAAAAAACCAACATATAGATATAAAAACAGTTGCTGGATGATTGCTTTAAAATGAACTTCATCATTGTCTTTACAAAAAAAAAAAGGAAAATATTCCATAAAGACAAATTGGTAAGGATAATAGAATCGTCAAACATAAAAAAAAAACATTCAAGCATTTACCGACAAAATAATTTTTATCAACTATTGAAATTTTACAGTGAAAAAAAAATTACAATTATTATTATTTTTAAAGAATCAATAAATACAATATTTACAATTTATTTATCACATATTCATATATAACTTGCTCTAAGATCTCTATATGTAAAGTTGGTCTAATAATAATCGTACTAATAACATATATGGATGAAAGAATCTTTTTTTTTTAAATTTTATGTTATCTTCTGCATTCACTAACACAGAAACATAATACTAAAATACAATGACATACTGTACTTTACCTTAATAAGATAAGTAGTGCTATAACCATTGAACAAATCGGATCAACTATCATCCAGCCAAAATAATGCATTAGTAATGATGATATAATAACACCAACACTACCAAGAGTGTCTGCTAGAATATGTAGGAAAACACCTGGAAAACAATTCAAACAAATATTATTTTAGTAAAAATATTACAATATAATCACTGGCCAGGTGGTGGCCTACCAAAACATTTTGCAGGTGGGCTAAACTTCTTGTAGGCCCCAACAATAATTTGCCCACATTTTGTTGGAGTACTGATTCTGACAACAATAGGCTAACTTCCAGCAAGTTCACACACCCAATTGAATGTTTGTGCGATTTCTTCCTGAAATTGTGTACTTTTCAATTAAAAGCAAATAATAAATATGCTGTTTAGTAACATTACGGTACAGGTATGTATTAAATATATAATACAAAAATAATTACAAGAAAATTTAAATGTGTGTGCTTGTTCCCATGCAACCAAAACAAATTATTGAACAGGAAGTGCTTAAAAACATTAACAGGTATTCATTAATAACTAGAGTAGTTTCTTCATAGATTGCATACTTCCACCCTGTGCCTGGATACAGGACGATACACAGACTCTGTATGGGCAATTCCATGAATTTCTTTTGTGCTTATCTCTTTCTAAGATTATTATGTACAATTACAATAACTGTTATGGTGAAAAACTAAATTAAGGAATGGATTCCACTGTTTTGCATAATCTTAATCCTAACAGAAAGACAGACAGACAAGGGTGAATAACCTACATGGCATTTCACAGTAAAATTTTAAAAACAAATTACATACCTTGCATTATCTGTGCTTGAGAACCTCCTCCCCCACCATGGCTGTGTCCATGGTTGTTGCCATGACTATGACCATGTCCATGACTGTGTCCATGACCGTGATCATGGCTGTGACCATGGTTGCAGTCTTCATTTTTGTCAGCTAAACCTTTAAAACATAAGAGTTTAAAAGAATGAGTATAAACAACCAGTGATAGTTTCAATAATTTTCAATCAAATATTTATTTTTTTTTGTATGTGTATGTGTAATCATTATTATATTAACATCATATTATATTATACTATACATCTGGGATGGCCATAAAATGGGTTGGAGGGCCAAAGTGAATTTTTGATTTAACACTGAGGGCCGCAACCAAACTTTGATGTTTCCAGTGTGCTTCAAAAAACCTTCATGCACTGCTTTTATACTGCTTTATGCTCAGTTTTAGTATTACATTTTACAGATGATCAGTGTCAGGCTATGAAAAACAAGACGGGTTTTAATCAAAGATTGATGGTGCACCACACACACAGGGTTTTAAAACATATTTTCGCAAGCTGCAACAAAATCACTGTCGGGCTGCACTTTGTTCATTGTGTGCTGTACATCATTATATTATATTTTACTATATAAATGTTATATAGAGTGTCTTCTCACCTAAACCATGTGAATGCCCATGTCCATGACTGCTGTCACCTATCATTTAAAGAAAGCAAACAAACATCTTCTTTAGTATATATACACACAATGTTCATATATTTTAATTCAGAACTATTTAACTTGTCATTTTGGGATGGTCATGATGAGTAAAACTATTAAAAAAATGACCCCATTGGAAATAAGGCTGTTAAACGCATTTATGGGCCATGGCATTTTGCATTATTCTTGTGTTCTATTGTTTATGTCATTTTAATCTAAAACTGAGCAAGTTGACACTTTAAAGATGTATTATACTGCACCATGCAAAATATCAAAACAAACCTTAAAAATAATTTTTACAAAATTAACTTGCTCAAAAAATTATCAACTTAAACATATACAGGAGGTATTTAAAAAATGTTTACCCATCATTTTACCTATAATTTTAAATCATAACACTGGAAGCGTTTTAGTACTTTTTTTTATTATTATTAATTAGTATAATAATCAGTGTAAACATCTATTAAATTCAATAATTTCTATGCTCAAGTTAATAATTTGTATGTTACTGCAAATTGACCAAGTTATTTTCAAAAATATTTTTCTAATGATTATGTTTGTCATTTTCAGGGGACAATACATCTTTGAGGGATGATGTGATGTCCTATAAACAAGGCCTTATCTAAGATTTGATCCCAGAATCTTGACAATCTATAGCTAAACTCAAATAAAATAAGAATTATATGTTTAACTTTGACTAAGACAATTTACAATAAAGATCGATCACACTGAAAATAAGGCTATAAAATGTCTTTATTAGTTATCCTTGGCATCTGTTTTATTTTCATGTAATTTTATATTTTAGGTGCATGATAATCCTTTAATTCAATTCTTTAAATTAATTAAATTAAATCTTTTTTTTTAATTTTTAAAGTTTTTGTAAAACTTTTTCACTTCGTATATATGTCTTGGCGATGTTTTATGATTGTTGTTTTATTCTGTCAAATAAATCAAATCAAATCCGGGTGGGGATATAATGGACTTATTGTATACGACTTCCTATTTGAAGACTCATTTATGAGTCACTTCCCTAATCATACTCATGAGACATGTCTCTAGGTGATTAATGAGGTATATTAAAAAAAAAAACAAAAAAAAAAACAAAACATGTGACAGTGTTTTCCCAATTGAAACATTTTTACTGGTAAATTTGTCCATATAAACCAGGTAAGCATGCACAACAGAATTATTGTCACTTTTAAGTGCAGTTAAATGGCTTCAAAAAACAACAATACATAATCATAGTCTAGGCCTGGAAGGATGTTCATTTATTGAATGAAGGCCAACCTAGGCTACCTGGCCTAATAAGTACATTTTTTTTTATTCTACCAACACACAATTTTTACTGGTTGGTCAGTTATTTTTTTCTGGAAAAGTTGACGGCTAAAACGGCTTCGGGAGAATACTGTGGTATTATTATTATCTCAGTAAAGCAGTGAATTTTACCTCTCTCCCTTTTTATGTCTAAAAGCAGTTCTAACCATTCAACACAGAGGGAAGTGCAATTTACTATTTCACTTCAAACCATGCTGTATTTATATATTATTCCATATACTATCTTACCTCCATGAGAATGTCCATGACCATGCTGGAATGCAAAAATGCCCACTATATTTACAATAAATCCTGCTACTGACACTGCGAACAAACGCTCATGTCGAACTTCTGGTGGTTCTAGAGCTCTCTGTGGATAAACATATTAAAATGCATCAGGTTATAAATATATGTGTTAAAAAACAATAAACAGTCCACAATTAAAAACATCATACTGTCCACAATTAATGAGAATAGATGAACTGAATGGATGACCTGAGGAGATAAACGTATGTGGAGCTGAAGAGAAGGGCAGAGGATAGAATTAAATGGAGGAGATGGGGCCACGGACCTGCCTGCAGGCAGACAAGTAATGTAGGTAAGCAAGACAAAAATTGATCACAACAATAGCAACAATAGCGATTTTTTTCTTGCCTTAATAATAAGAAAAATATCAATAATAACAATTTGTGGCAACATTGTGGAAGTGGTTGGTGCAATGGTTGTGACTTGAACTCCCAACCACATGGTCGGGGGCTCGAGCACTCACTGTGCAAGTCGATTGTTTCCGTAGGCAAGACACTTTATCTACGTTTGTTTTTCTCTACAGTACCAGGAGTATAAGTAGGTACCGGCATATGCAGAGAATGTATAAAACAGACTCCATGTGAGAAGAAGTGATGATCCCTCCAGAAGTGGATGCAGAGCTCACCCTGACTAAGTATTAGCTCCACACGTGTGGGATGTACAGGACATAATTCCTTTTACACTCTGATGATCTTGGGTTTTAAAACAGACACACAATTTATGAAGAAACATATGAAATGAATAGGTGTGCATTGACACTCACATGATCATCCGGCGCTGCAATTACTTTAGGCCATTTTTTTTAAAATTTTTACCTCTCACCTTGACCTTTGTCAGGGTGAGAGATCACAACATTGCACAGTCTGGCACAAATGCTAAATATTAAGAAAAGATGGCCAATCCAATCTGTATATGTTCAATTACTTTCGCCTACTGTTGTCAATTTGATCATTATTTTTTCATGATTAAATTGTATATTTCATTGCAAATGAAAAGAAGATAAAAACAATCTTCAGTCACTTCTACAATTTTACCTCTACAGCTTCTGAAAATATGAAGAATGCTACAAAAACAAGAAAAAGTCCATTTATAAACCCGGCAAGAATCTCGGCTCGTACGAATCTGAAAAGAGAGGATATGAGCAGTTGACATCACTACAATATCCTAATTCTTTAAAACCATAATCATAAACATGTCACAAACACAACTAATCACCACAAAATGTAGTCATAAAAACTGTGTTACCCAAGCATAGTGAAAAGTTAAAATCAAGTCAGATATTATTTTATATTAGATACCGGTATCTACATGTATATATTTTTTTTAACTCCAGGCATTTTGGGCCTACAGTGCTAGTATGTGCAAGACAATCAGCATAGACCAATCATACATAAATTTTCATATGTTATTGCTTTTAGGTGTTCACATTATTAATATTTACCTCTGTCAATTAAACAGCTGGCAAATGCTGAATGGAACACACATAACATAATATTTGCATATTATATTTATTATACATAATAATATTATATAATTATGTATAATATGCAGTGTTTAAGCTGTCAATAGCCAAAGCCAAATCTTAACAAAAGCTAAATATTTTCATTCAAAATGGAATTAAAGCTTTGCTTATTCTTTTGTTTTTGGCTATTCAAATTTCTATTCTGCTAATTATTTTCATACCAAATTAGCCAAATTGTTTAATATTGTTTTTGACTAGTTTAAACCCTGAATCAATACTGTAATAATGATACATGATGAGATATTGTAAAGTGCTGGCATCTACCAAAAAATAGGCTTTTTTAGTAGTAATGAAAATACAACTTTAAATAAACATTTCTCACCCATATGAATAATGTTCACTCCTCCTCCACCGTGCTATTACCGTAGCAACCAGGCCAGCTAATAACGCAGTACAATCAAAGAACATATGGAAAGAATCGGATATAAGACCCAAACTGTTTGACAAAAGATAAGAAAATCAAATAATTTGGTAATAGTGTGGATCAGAATAAATAGGGTAAGTATGGCAAAGCAAACAAGTGACGTACTGTCTTCTTGATAACAATGCATTTAACTTTTAGTGTCAACAAATTTGAAGATTATAATTTTCATTCACAAATGATTTAATTGTGGGGTACTGTATATTACACTTTGTAGTGCACTATTCACTATATAGTGGAATTCACATTTTACCATCATTAAAGAGAGTACAAGAAAAAAATATTTTGAGATCCACCCTCTTGCGAAGGACTACATGTGTACACATAATTCTTTCATTTTGATACCAACATTTAAGAAACACAAACGCATAATACTCTGTTGATCCTCGCCCACCCCACTGGCGTATGTTTTAAATTTGTGTGAAAAAGATGAATATATAGAGGACCATTAAAATATCTTTAATTACACGGTACAAACATGTGTTAAACCATCTCAGTTACAGCACTGTAGGTATAGGCATATGAGCTGTGTACTTAAAAATTACAATGGACTTGTGAATGTGTACAGTACCGTAGACCAATAAATTGATATAATCAAAATTCAGATATTGTATATCATTCAATAGCATGTGTGTTGACACGATAAGAAGAATAATAGAATATGTAATAAGGAATTGATCAACGAAGGAGACGATAACACGCACAACTGTATTCTATTTTAAATACCGTATACTTGCATACAAGACAAGGCTTAAAATATTAATAGCAAAATACAATAAAAAAAACAAAAAAACACAGGGGGTTGTCTTATATGCACGACATACAAATTTAGATTTATTAAATCATGTTTGTTATACCTGTATAAGCAGATCGTCCATAACACTGGAATTTACTACTTTAAACTGTAATGATTTTACTAAATATTAGTACTGTATGAACATGGAGGAAAAAGCAGAATTTTTTCCTACATGGTATGAATGAACTCAATTTTCGAATATGGGGAAATAAGATTTTGATGGAAATTAAAAACCCATAGAATGGTATTATTCTGGTAGAAAGCCTTGCATTTAGCTCTGTTTTCAACGAGCTAGATGCAGTATCAAGACCATAAAAAGCAAAAATGTAGGAATTCTGACGATGAACCAGGGACATACAAAAATTTATATAGTACCTTCATATGACTACTCATACAACAGAAAAAAACGTCGCATGGAGTTAGTGAAAAATGGAGATCTAAATGAAAAAACGATGTATTTCAGCAAGTATTAAAATCTTTTTGTTTTATTTAGGCCTTCTTTAAAACACCTATGCCACAGAAGTTGATTTTTTTTGCCGTAAAACCAAAATAGTTTCATCCATGCCGACCGGTTAGCGTGTGCCCTCACGGAACTCTGCAGAATCTTCACATCGAACTCGCATCGCGAGGTACAGTAATACAAAATGTCGGAAAACGTTTTTCTTTGACGCATGCGCATTTGCATAAATGTCTACACACATACACACTACACACAATAAAAAACAAAGGAAAATGAAGAGTGATTACAATAGTTCCTATTGCATTACATGCATACTGTAGGAACTAAAAAAAATTCCAAACCCCCATCCAACCATGAATATTAATGTTTTAAATAAAATTAAGCATTAAACATGTATTGCCCTGCAAAATACCCACCATCCTCCCCCCACAAAAAAATAAAAAAAATATAATGAACTTGCTTTGTCGTATCACAAAAGTTATGATTGTTTACCCATTTTACAGCAAAAAATGATAGAAACACTACAGTAGTCACAGGAAGTGTTCTTTTGTTTTTTTTTATGTATTATCATTTTCCAATATAAAAATCAGGATACTTTAAATTCAATGATTTCTATGCTCAAGTATAATAATTTGTATGTTCTGCAAAATGATTAAGCTAATTTCAAAAATTACTTTTAATGATTTTTAATATTGTAATTTTCAGGGGACAATACATCTTTAAAACATTATACACAATTGTTACTGAATAATTTCCAGAGCATTCTTACCTGTTGGACCACATTCCGTAGAACAACTCAACAAATGCAAATGACAAATTCAGTATAAGAAACAAAAATAGATTCCGAGATGTTTTATCTGAGAAGACGGCCCTGTAAGTAAAAAAAAAAAACACTTATCGTTCAGTAAAACGTTGTAAATTTGTTATTTGACCTATTTATCTAGGCTCCTTAAACCAATCAGTTTTCAATGGTATCTAATTAATAGACTACTGACTACATTACAGTGCAGAGGTGGTTCTACGATCTACTGTATTCTGTTAGGAGGGGCAAAGGCAGCTCCGACAGGTTCTGAAAATTCTGATGGAGGCCATGGGTAGGGCCATGGTGGAAGCTCTGGTGAGGTGTCGGGGGCTAGACACTAACATACAGAAAAATTGGCCCATTTTAAGCTGTTCTGATACATATTTGGGTATTTATAATGGCCAAAATAATTTAAAAGATATTTTCTCTAGTTTAATCTGACCCCACATTGGCTCTGTTACTGCAGAAGGTACCACCTTCAGACTGAAAGACGTGGGGTGAAGAATAGTACAGATTAACCCCTAGAACTCAAAATTAAGAAGACAGGGAGGAAGTGTGCCCCACCACCAATATGTTAAAAAATCTATTGTTTTTCATGTTATCATTCTGATTGTACTTTGTAGCTCATTTTAAAAAAGCGATATAGGTATCAACACTCGGATAATTTTGGCATCATTGACATTGATGAAGTTGATGCATAAAGGAAAAAAGGACACAGAAATATACTCTATTTAATTTTTCACTAAAAAGCCATTAATTTGCGGTTTTTAATACTGTATTTTGGGATTCTTTTTTGAAAATCCAGGAGAACTTCACAAAATTCAGAAGACCGGGAGATTGCGCATGATATTCCTGAAGAGAGCAATCCAAATTTCTGACTGGAATGATTTTGACAGATACTTGTTAAATGATACAACTTACAAGCTGATGAAAAACATGTTTTAAGATAAACAGGTTCATGGTGCTTTTGGTCAAAACCTTTCAAAAAATGTCCTACAATTTACAAAAAAGATAGAATTAACACTCGGCCTACACTTATACATGATTCATCAAAGTCCTAGGCAAAGAAAACAGTGTTTTGATTAATTACGAGGAAAATGAATGAATTTACTATACTATCTAAGCTAAATAATAAAGGTAAAAATATTCCTTAAAAAAAAAACAGAAGACCAGTCCTCAAATGGATTAGATTGGCAACTCTGCAGTAAAACTAGGCCTAGGCCGTAGGCCTAGTAAGTTTATCTCACCGGCCGGCTATCAACTTTTCTAAAAAAAAAAAAAAAAATAAAGATATTGTCGGAAGAATGATTGATAGCCTAGATAGGCCGGAGAAAAAAATAATATTCAGAACACATAAATTACCTCCACCAGCCTGACAATTTGGCCTTGAGTCTGAATCCTGTAGAAGGAGGAGCATCATCTTTGTGTATTGGTAACATCTGAAACTGAATTTAGTAGTAAAAAAGATATTAAATGAAGAATAAAATAAGCAGCTGTGTAGGACAGCCAGTGTACTCGTGGATAAATTTTCACCTTACAAGCGACACATCAGCTACACACTTCCGGTTATTAGTTTACCACACTCAAATTTATAGATTGAATAATAATTTCATTGTCAAATAAAATATAGTAACTATCATATTATTATAATATCATTTGGTTTAATAATTGAAAAATATGTTTTGTAGTAATAAAGAAGTTACTTTGCAAAATTGGTATCTCATTATTTATATAAATTTTAGTTTAAATATTAGTATGAATCTTTGTTATAATAGCCTAAACTCGGGTCATAATATGACATCCGTCGTCTGCTATTTCTCTTGATGACTTTTATCCATAAGTTGTGTTTACACATTTCGTTTCGACCTCGCGATTTGTATTACGAATTAAAACCTTGTTTTATTGTGTTTCAGACATCCAAGCATCATGTTGAGAATTGCATAAATACATCAAATACTCTCGAAATGGTTATATCCTTCCTTTGGAATAGACCATGTTTTGTTCTAGGATAGCAAAGAATTTCTTAGGCCCAAACTGCTCGACACTGCCGCGGTTGTTTTCAGGGTACCTCGTAGAGAAATTGATCAAGCAGCCACCCTTGCTGCTCACCGGAAGCTATCACGTGCTGACTGTTACTGGGCCTAGCAAATTTAGGTTGTCTAGATTGTACAATGTTATAAAACGGAGTTGCACAAATCAAGGTGAAAGAAATGATTTAAACATGGAAACAACTATGCAATTAAAGAGAGTGCTTGTTTTGTCGAAAATAACAAGATACGAATATGAACGCCAGCGACATGAAGGAATCTCCGAAAAGAAGCTGGAGAAATTAGTAAGATTAAAGGCAGTGGCTACTGTTACACCAGTCTTAAATTTATTATGCTAATCCAATCTATACATACGATATTAACATAAAATTAATATTAGGAATTAGTTTGAGACTGGTGTAACAATAGCTATCAATACATTTAATTAATGCATCGGGCCTCGGGGTGTTTACCAACCATTCCTAAAAAAACCAACAATCTCTTCATTTTTTAATTTTTTTCAGGGTGGAGCATTTTTCATTTGGCAGACCCACCCCAGACTATTATAGTAAGGCCTGTGCAGAGAATATAGGCATATCCTCCACTCAAAAATTTGGCCTAGGAATCCGTCTGCAAATTTCGGAATATAAAGGCCGATTTCCGCGCGGATTTTTGCCAGAAGTTAGGCTTTGACCAAATTTAATAAGGCAATTATGCAGCAATTACGATTCCGCGCACATTTTCTAATGCTTTTTGGCGCAAATAGAGCTGATTTTTTAGATATCCTCCGCACCAGTACAGTATGGGGGCTCTTGGAAATTTTAGTGCTTCTGGATTGCACCATGTAATAGCCTTGTTTTGGTATAATTATTAAATTGTTAGATTTTGAAAAAAGGGATTTAAAAACAAATTCTGATGGTGTGATTTTTGTGGTGGCTCTTGAGAGGCCGGTAAATAGAAATTGGTTAAAATGCAGTTATGTGCCGAACCCAAATAAACTAATTACAACATAGTTCACTTAATATCTTAATTTTTCATTAATTTTTAGCTTGCAGAGAGAGGTTCAGATTACAAGAAATTACTACAACGAAATGACATTCATCAAGGCAATATAAAACAGTTGTGTGCAATGCTAGAGTAAGTGATTCATTGAAAACAATGTTAAATTGTGTGTGATATCAAATTTAACAAACAATATCTACAGTAGTAGCCATGTGGCTAGACAGAATCTATGGATTTTTTTGGGTAATTTTTTAACATTGTATGTAATTTTTTAACACAGCATTGTTTGATAATTATATTTTCTTATATTCATTGGACAAAAAAATGAACTGTCTCAAAGAGGAAGCTCTCTGCTAACTCAATGAAAAAAATTGGCTAAAGTCAAATTTTTCTTTAGCCAAATTTTAATCAAATCAGAAACACAATTTAATCCAAGTAAGAAATATGCAAATGCCTTTTCTTCAAACTGCAGTATCCTCTCATCAAAAACATGACAACTTTACAGTCCATAGTCGTTCTGCAGGTTTACCAACTGTTTTAATTCAAGTAGGTAGGCATAATGGAGCTTGCCTAGTTTTGCCCTTGTCGAGACGTCCGTATATATTATACGCATGAATGATCAGGCAGTGTTTGCCCGTGCCCTAATCCGAAAAAAAAAAAAAAAATCGAGTATGGAACGTCAATTAGGTATGGCACGCACTAAGTGCAATAAAGTGTGAGTAACCCTAAATTAGGACCAGGAACCAAGGCTAACAAACGTCTTGCCTAAGGACACAAACAGTGTGATGAGCATCGGTCTTAGACCCCCGACCTTTTGATTGAAAGTCCAACACTGCACCACATGCTTGTTATCCTAAATCCAATCCATACATACAGTAACATCCAATCAGAAATACTGAAGGGATTTGTTTAAGACTGGTGTAACAATAGCCACTGCAATTATATTCATCTTTCAATCATTTTTGCTGTGTTTGTACATCAATAAAACTAACTTCTTTGTATTTCAGAGAGAATGGCATTAATTACAAAGTAGTTCAGAGAAAAGAATACAACGAAACGTGCATTGATTGGGCTGATCTGGTGATTTCTGCTGGGGGTGATGGTACATATTTGTCGGCTGCCAGTAAGATCCATGACGCCAAACCTCTCATCGGCATCAACACTGATCCAAACAACTCAGAAGGTCACCTGTGCCTACCAAACAAGTACTCAACAGATTTCAATGAAGTTCTTCAGAAACTAAAACAAGGAAAATTTAGGTTTGAATTTAAAACTGTGTCCACACTATCACATTTTCATTGACAAAAAACCTATTGAATGTCCATATATAGTCATGATGTGCCTATATATAGTCATGATGTGATGTCATCATTCCCATATTTAGTCATGTCACATGATAGTCTAGACAGGGCTTAGGACAATTGGCATATGAAAGTGTTACTTAACACAAATTAGGTTAACATTATTACTGTAGATTTAATATTTATCATTCTTCAAAAATATATGCATGTACCCTCCGGTTAAAATCTGGGAAAAGATTCAAATATTTGATTAAAAAAAATGCTCATTAAATCTTTATCAAGTATTTTCTTGATCAAAACAATTAAGGTTTTACTGATTTACTAACATTTTTTACTACAAAGATCATTAAATATTCTCCACTCAATATGAACAATACCAAAAGTCTCTCTAATTAAAGACCATGTCTAATTAAAGATCACTTTTCTGTGGTCCCAAAATATCGAACTTCTATTATTCTAATTATAGACCAGAAGCTGGTACTGTATAACACAATGAAAACCCTAGTCCCAATAGTGGTCTTTAGTTGGAGGGAGACCTGTATTTTATGTATTGATACGATACGATACTAAGCTTTATTGCAATTTTTATCATAAAAATTCAAGTTGAATAATAAACATGACAACACAGTACAAATACATCACTAAAAAAGGTACAAAACTCTGTCAGAAATATCAAAAAACAAATAAATAAAAAGAAAATAATAAATGAATAAAAAAAAAAATAAATAAAATAAACTAACATTAAACAATAATAAAATAAATCCTTTACTGTTTGTATTGCTTTTATTCCAATTGATATTGACAGGTGGAAGTGGCGACAAAGGATTCGTGTTACTGTAGACGGGGCCGTTCCATTAGAGCCGGTGGATTTACAGGACCAAAACCATCGGGATCAGCACTGGAAAATGCGAGAAAAAGCCAAATTAGAAACAACAGTACCTGGTCCACGTATCTTGCCTATCAAGGCTTTGAATGAAGTTTTTATTGGAGAAACATTGTCTTCAGTGTAAGTTTCCACTTAAAATTTTTTCCTCCAATCCTAGTGAAATTATGAATAAAGCTCTGTTCTGATCATCAAATTTTCTTTGACAAAACACTGTTGTATGCCCATATATAGTTATGATGTACCTATATATAGTCATGATGTGATGTCATCATGACCATATTTAGGCATGTCACATGTCTTTTTTTTCAAACAAAATTTGATAGTCTGTACATAGAGGTATTATTGAGAAGGAGATCACTCGGCAACAGTTCCCTTTGGCGCGACAAACCAATGTCTTCCCCGCCTTTTGATCGCGCGCGGGGGCGTATTACCGTATTATTAACATTTTTTTGTTAGCAACAGCTTTGCAACGACATGCTTTTGTATGCTTCAACACAGCAGTTGTGCGATAAACCATTTGATTTTTACTCATTAAATATCTTTAAAATTAACAATGTTCCCCTAATTGGATTTTTTCGGACTTTTAGTATGTTATTATGTGTGTATTTGACGAACAGATATCACAAAATATTTCTGTTATAATTACTTCTGTGTTCATTATAATTTTGTCTAAAAATTGACTGGTTTAACTAAAATGCTAAGGCAGCGTAAAACTGAAAATCACTCTGATTTTTCGAATAGTTAACCCTCGTTAACCATAAAATGACTTACTTTATTTTAATCCTCAATCATTTATTAATTAATATCTGTTAAAATTAGAATTATCGAATTTTATCCAATTTATGGAAATGGAAGTTGAAATATACTATACTTTTAAAGCTCATGTATGTTTCATTAAATTCGAAACTCTTTTTTGTGGAAAATATTAATATGTTTGATATTTCATGAGAGATAAATGTATCAGCTTCAAAATGGAAATGACTGCACAGCCATAGTGATTGGCTGTATGTAGTGTGCATTGAGAAAAGAAGGTGCTCTCCATTTTGCCATGTTCAATTTTTTTGGTAAACTTATAGCCTGCTGAGCATTTGATGGCAGGGAACACATCAGACTTCAAAGGCATCGCGCAAACGTTCTTCATGCACTGTGGCAGTTTTAATCTTGGTTCATTTGCATAGCGCTGCGTGCGCGTAGCTTTTTCGAGTGATCTTCTCAATAATACCTCCATGGTCTGTACAAGGCTTAAAGATGGAAAATAGGACAAGATGCAATGAACATGCTAATGCTATCACCCATGATTGGGTGTAACTGAGGGTGCCATTACAAGTGTCATTATGAAGCCACTTGTATTGTAGATTCCATCAAGCATTTGGCTGATTATGCATGAAAAATCTGTTATAACTTGTTACATGAAACTTCAGTTGGTGTGATACAGTAATGTTTTTATTTTCATTGCAGAGTGTCTTATTATGTAGTGAACATTGATGACGGTCCAGCAGAGAAGCAGAAGAGCTCAGGAATCACCATATGCACTGGTTCAGGGTCCACTTCTTGGTAGTTTATAAACATTCATTATTATTTTTTTTGGGTTGTGTGCGGCACCAGCGGGGTGGGGTGGGAAGTGTGGGCTTAAGGCCCCCCTCACCGGACAGGTCAACCCTTCCCGTTGCACAGAGCTCGTCAGGCAATCAGACCATAAAAAATATATAAATAGGCCCACACCAAGCCAACCCATGTCTATCACAGTCTGAGAGTGCCTTTTCCGGACATCCAGAGGTTCCCATTCTTAAAAAAATCTCATTTGGAAGGGGAATCCCCTTCTCAAACCCTTCTCCCAACTCGAGTCTACGAGCTCAAGTTCCCCCTGTCAGCTGTTGGACAGCTTAGCCCCCCCCCCCCCCCTCTTCAGAAAAAATATATCCTAGAGCTGCCACTTGTGTAAATAAACAAATTTGACAATATAATAGTTTTATGTTGTTCTTATACATCATTCTCATCCAACAGATGCTTCTGATCATAACCTACTGGTTGAAATTGGGAGTATACGATACTCTATAATCCAAATCTAATATAAGTTTATAAGATAAATAATCTTAATATCTGCCGGATTTGGGACCATGGGATTAATTCAATTCAAGGACTTTGTCTTGACTTTGTCAAAAGAAAAATACAAAATAAAAATTCCACTTTTCAATAGACACTTGTTAGCTTTATTAAATGTACATAGTGTTAATAAAAAAGGCACGACTTAAGACATGTGATTTGAAAGTTACCTTTTCCACTAAGCTACCAGTCTTCCATATATTTATATTAATTGCTCAATTATACTGTTTTTTTTAGGTCTTTTAACACAAACAAGCTTTCGTCTCAGAGTTTGCAAGAAATATTACGAATTGGTGAGAATCAATACTTGTTGCTGTAGTTCATAAGGACTTAGATATGTATGGATTAATTTTGATTCAGTGTGTTTCTTTTTCAACAAAAATTGAGAAAAAAAAAAGCCATCCTGACAGCAAGTCCACAACTCTTAATTTATATATTGAACTCATTTACATAAATAAACTTGATATATGTACCGTGTATACTCGCATATAAGGCAAGGGTTACAAAAGCAAAAAGACGATCTAAAAAAACAAGGGGTCGTTTATATGCACAACACGTAGAAATGTTTGATTTTTAAATTGACATGTTCGTTATATGTGTGGATCATCTGCAACACATGTTACTACTGAAATAAAGCTACTATCTATTTAAATGCGGGGAAATAAGATTTTGATGAACATTTAAAAGCCCATAAAATGGTATTATTTGGAAGATTGTGCTCCGTTTTTAGCCACTCAAGACCGTAAAAAGCAGCAAATCCGGGGTCGTTTTTTTAGCGGACCGCCTTATACCCGAGTATATTATTTATTAGAATATGTCCTAATTATTCAGTTACGGATATACTATTTTACCTCACAGTTAAGGAAGAAACTGGCTGCAATATACCTGAAAGTCAAGACTCGGTCAAGAGAATAGTAGACCGGTTCAACGATTCTTTGGTGTTTGACCCATCTGATGTCAGGATGGCTTATACTGTGCGTGATCCAGTTGTTAATAGAATCTTTGCAGCTGACTTTCCCAGGGGATTTGCTAAAAGGTAAATATTGTAAGCCCTCCCCCTTTATTGCTATTATATATCAATGACTGTTAATGATTAATTAAAGATTACTTCAGAATGCAGGCCATTTCCAACAACAATATAATAATAATAATAATAAAACTTTATTTAAATTTAAAACAGATTTTAAAACGCAATGAACACAAGGGATGGGGCTGTAGTTTTAACAATCTATTTTAGTAAAAACTGAGACTAAAATATTCCAACTTTAAAAATCTTATTCTTATAAACCTTATAGAAAAATCACCACTACATAGTCTAGAGACTAAACAGTGGCATAACAAACAGGTTTGAGGTCCATAGAAGGCTTCCTTGTGTGCCCACTATACCTGTCTCTTATACACATCTAGATGTGTATAAGAGACAGCAGCCATAGTGATTGGCTGTATTATATGGATTTCTTTGCTGTGAAACACAACAAGAATAATCCACAGAAAGCCAAGCACTTATTTCCAGGGCTGTCTTTATTGGTGAATTGGACCTGTCTCTTATACACATCTAGATGTGTATAAGAGACAGATTAATAACATGTAGCGTAGGAATGCGTCATCTACATAGAGCTGTACGCAATCAAGATTTGTCATCTGGAACCTCTTTTATTTCCATATTCTTTATTTTTACTTTTTTCTTAATTTTTGCTAGATGCACATATAGTGTATTAATTTGATTAGCTGTGTAAGTTATTTAAAGAACCGGTTAATGACTTGAAGAGGAGAGTTCTTGGGATAGGGTAGGGAGGGGAATACTTTGAGTAAGTAAGAATAATACTTGGGGTAATTTTGGAAAATATATGGGCTAAGTGAGAAGAATAACTTGGAGTAGGGGAGGAGAATTATAATAATAATAATAATAATAATAATAATAAAAACTTCATTTAACCACGGTAAACAATTGATCACCTCGATGGTGTTTTTCATCAATGCCATAACAGACATAATAATCAAACTTAACTAATGTTAAACAAAGAATAAAATTAATTACAGAAAATAAAAGGAAAACAAACAAACCAATCAAGAACAAAAATTACAAAATCAAAATACAATATTATTTGACTTTAATTTAATTCAAACAGTTTTTAAAACACAATAAACACAAGGGATGGGGCTGTAGTTTTAACAATCTATTTTAGTAAAAACTGAGACTAAAATATTCCACCTTTAAAAATCTTATCAGTAATTGAACTGAGAATTACGTTACCGTGTCTGAATCTGGACAAAAACCAGGAAATTCAGGGGAAACAGTATCTCCTGATTAGGCCTAGGAAATGGAATATGTTTTACTAAAAGAAGCATTCAGAAATGTGAATGATTTTAACCCACATGCCTTATACCAAGTAATTGTAAACTCTCATATTTTTATTTTGAAGAATCAGCATCAGGTCTCGTTGTTTTGATGCTTGCCTTGTCCTTGACAGCGGCTACTCCTTCATCTTCAATGATGGTGCCATGGCAACATTGGAAACTAGGGAAGAGGATGCATTGCGCACACTTGAGCTAATTGAAGAAGAACCAGATGATGAGTAAAGAATAGTCAAAAGAAGATAAATCCTATATATCATGCACTGTTTGGGGGCAGTTAAAGAATAGCATTATTACCTTAAAACATGGTTTCAGTTGGTAAAGATGAGGCAGAAGAGTTGGATGATGAAGACAATATATTTTGCATGATGGATTTTGTCAACAGCTAAAGATTGGTGAAACAGAGTTCATTTGATCGTAATAATATATAAGATAAAGAAGTGACAGACAGTTTATTGAATGTTATTGACCAATAGTTAAAAATACATTATTAGCCTCCCCAAAGGAGCGAAGCTCTAGGGGAGGCTATTGTTTTTTCCTATGTTCTTCATATTGCCGTCGTTTGTGTCTTTGTTGTTGGTCATTTGTTTGTATACCACGGTATCTAAAGTTTGGTAAGCCTGATTGGATTCAAACTTGGCAGAATGCAAGATGGTAATAAGAAGACGGAGTGTATTGTTTTTGGTACATGTGTGAATATGCTTTTTGCTCATTTCAATAATTATTATTTTACTAATAAGGTAATTTATGCTAGCTACCTCGATAACTAAAGTTTGGTAAGTCTGACTGGTTTCAAACTTTGCACAATGCATCATGGTAATAAGAAGATGGAGCCTATGGTTTATGGTACATGTGAATATGCTAATTGCACATTTGCATAATTAATATGTCACTACAGGAAATTTATGCTAAATACTATCATAACTCCCTAAGAAAATTTCTAATTTAGGTAACTGTTAGTTGTAGCCCTCTAATTACAGACATTCGGCAGCTGTTGACATATGTTGGTGTTAGTAGATGGCATATATGACGAGAGATGTGTGCACAAACTATGACCAAACATGCAAATACGGAAAACTAAATACTATTTACAAAAGTGAAATTGGGGATAATTTTATATATTTTATTCATGTTGTCGTCGTCGTTTCAAACTGATAGGTTTCAAATTCCTACTTATAAATTTTAAGAGAAAAATCACATCGTGGGGATGCTATGCTTTTATTGCGCAGAGTAAAAGTAGCATTTCTAGTTATTGATTGTGGTTGAAAAAATGTAGGCCTACTGTACAGGTTTGTGCAAAAGTGAAATTGAAAATTGGGGATAATTTTATTTATTTTATTCATGTTGTCGTCGTTTTAAACTGATAGGTTTCAAATTCCTAAATACATTTTCAGAGAAAAATCACATCGTGGGAAGGCTATGCTTTTACTGCGCAGTGTAAAAGTAGCATTTCTAGTTACTGATTGTGGTTGAAAAAATATAGGCCTACTGTACAGGTTTGTGCTTGTTATGGTGTATAGGAATATGTCAGTAGTGTCCTGTTAAGCATCCTAAAGGAATTTAATAATGAATAGTTAATTAAAAAAAATTTATACCAAAGAGTATGAGTTAAACTCTACCTTCATTTCTCTAAAACACCTAGAGGGATCTGTGATACAAGGTGCTATATGTGGTTTTATTCCAGTATTATAATGTTAGCGCCAACTTCAAATTTTAAACTTCCAGCAGTAACAAACCGATCAGTTGTCAGTTTGATGTCTGCATGGTAACCACTGTCGTTTGTTGTATTATTCTTGTCAACATTGTACTGTTTATTTTACTTTACTTTCTTTGCATCTTTTCTATTTATCTGGGTTTAAACTACAGTTATAAACATGAAGAATAAAATTCAATATTTGCTCACTTCTTATGCAAATTAAGTAAGTTTATTGGTCTGCAATTAAAACTTACAGTGAGAAAATATTTTGGTATCACATAATTGATATTGCATTGAAATTTGCCTATGTAGACCCTTAATAATTGGTTGGTACTATTAGATGGCTGTAAACCAGTGATAACTGTATTGTTTCAGGCTGTCTCATTGGAAACCTATTATTTGATGTTAAGTGAACAATTTAATATTTTCTTTGATCTTTTGAGGGTTTCTTTTACTGCAGCAGTATGCATTACAAGTAAATAAACCAATAATAATGATCTTATATTTGTTTTCTAAATGTTTTATTTTGTACCCAGTGGCAGCCCCAGGGGGTGCAAGCTCCCATCAGACAGCCTGAGCCCTTTAATTGACCACAAATCTTTGGAATAAAAAAACCCCTTTTTTAGGTAGTGGGTAGGCACAATGATAAAAGACAATTGAATTTCTTTTATTGCTGCAAGGGCCGTTTTGGGCCAATATCTGCACAAAACATAATTAAATGTCAAAAATACAACACAATTAGTAACTATGAATCATGGGGTAGAGACTTCATTCCACTAAAATAAGGTTGAAATGACCTGGCATACCCCACCCTAAACAAAATTACCTATCAACAATAATATTATATGCCAGCTTCATATAGTGCATATTATCCACAAGTTTTTTATGCGATTCACAATATTACCGAAGTTGTTGGAATGCATACTGTACTCATCTCCAGGGGCGGATTTAGGGGGGGGGCGGCCCGGCCCGGCCCCCCCCTTTTGGGAGGTAAAAAAAGAAAAAGAAAAAAAGAAAAAAAAGAGAGAAAAAGGAAAAAATGATGGCCAAGAATGCCTCAAATGTTATGTTCGGGCGTCTAGAACACAAAAATTTCGCGAACCCCCTACGACAGTGTTGTCTCAATCGGCCCAACTTTCGGCCCCCCCTTTTGGACATTTCTGGATCCGCCCCTGCTCTCCCTAGGGAGAATTTCATATTATAGCAACTTGTAATTAGCACAATGGCATTTGAGCCTACGTATACCAAGATCTAAAACTCTTATCTCAGGACACAAGCAGCATTCACAAGCAACAATTGCACCAACCGCTCCAGGGGGCTGGAAGCACCAGAATTTTAGCCAAAACTCTTATGAAAATAATTTCACAGCTGTCGTAAAGGGGGATGGGGGAGCTCTCCCTTTTTTCATTGCCTGAATGTTCCAAAGTCGCGAGTCTCCCAGAAACTGGACTGCCTCCCACAACCGGACAAAAATCCCCAGGAAAATAACCAATCTCCCCCAAATTAATTAAATCTGTATTTTTCCATACTACTGCATTACCATTTTATCATTTGTCTCAGGTGCGGATCCAGTAGGGGCGAAAACTGGGAACATGCCCCTCGTCCCCCGGTTTCACCATTAAATTTTACAATTTTAATCTATATCAATTATGTTTTGAAATAAGCACTTCTCGCTTATCTATTCTGAAAATGTTGTGCTCCCAGTTTGACAAATTCTGGATCTGCCCGTGTCTCATGGAAGTAATGTCGATTGGTGTAACCCCAAGCAGCGAAACAAAACATTAGATGTGCTAAAGAAACCTTGTTTAAACAGATCTGAAAATGACATCTTCCAACTTGGGATCTCTGCTTATGAATGTTGGTAATATTTTATAATATACCACAGAGCTATAATTACAGATGTATGCGAACATGTTATTGACTAGATATTACAATAAATGTGAAGCATGTGAACATAATGAAATCCATTTATATACTTTATTGATTTTCATACGTTGTTAACAGAACAACTGCACAGTACATATTATACCTTTAAAAACAGCAACATCACAAACACAATCTCCAACAACAGCCTTTTATCATTTATTGCTATTACTAAAACAGCACTTGGACAAACAATATACAGCATTGGACAATTGACTGCAAAGGCCAATAGAGCTGCTAGAAATACATGCTTCACAGAGCACAGATAAAATGTTTACAACACGATGGGAATGTTTAATTTATATACAAGGGGATATCTTTACAAAGACACTTAGTTTAAAAACTGTAGAAAATATACATCTTCATCTAAAAATATCTGTGATATCAAACACCTTTATTTTTAAGGGAAAATATTTTGAAAAAAAAAATATTTTAAATTAGGTGGTACTTTAAACAAGGTGATGACATGCATAGAATATTGCAATTTCATATTGGGGCTTAAATTTGGACTAAAATTCTTAATATTTTTTTAAACATTTGTGAAGATAATCTCTGATGTTGAACACAATTAATTTAATTATTTAAAAAAAATATCAATGGCATACAAAATGGGAAGAAAACTTTTATCTCTTGGTCTATGGAATACAATTCTGATGTCATAGTTAGTATTTGAATATCATAATACTGTACAACTTTACAATTGAATCCACCCCTAAATATTGGCAGTATCGGAAAATGCAGACAATAATAACACTTCATTATTACCATATTGAAATTGTTATATTTGCTTTATATTGTATTCATCAAATGATCATGAATTAATAGACTGGTTATTGGTTAAGCTATGCTCTAACTAGGACAACACAGTAATTAGATAAATCATACATCACATGACAAAATGTAAATCCAGATACTGTTCCAGTCATGTTTTACAATTTACATGACCTCAGAGTTTAGAAGGGTGTAGGCTAGTTCGGCTGGGAGTGCAAAAATTGAGAATGTGGAACTAAATCCTTATTACAATGAAAAGATTCATTCATTTTTAGTATTTTAACCCACTTAGTGGAACTAATATTTGCTACCATGGTGGTGCATCGGCATCCCATCCCCACACCTAGCCTCCGCCCATATGGGTGTAACGATTTTCCAAACAAAGCAGTCATATTTTAAGAACCTACTAATATCTTAATTTTCCCATGGCAACATTAGTTAACCATTACATTTTTCGTTCACACATTAATGTACGACCCAAAAAAAAAGTAATAAAAAAAGGATGTAATATTATTAAAACTATTTAAAATAAAATCACTTAGAAATACTAAGTACTTCATGTGAAATTTAAGTATGATTCATTTTGCATTTGACTTATTTATTGAATTGTTTGCATAATAGTAAGAAATTTAATTTCTTGTTCAACATGGGTAACTATCAAAATAGTTTGGTATTTGGTCCATTATTACAAATGGTAAGATTCTTTGTGGTTAAGGACTATACATGATTTATCATGTTATAACAAGGCAGTGTTTAATAAAACCATTGAAATGATTACTTTGACAGACAGGCAATTTTAAGGTGTACTCAGAGTCCAGTTGAATAAAAATATATTTTGAAAAGGGGAAAACCTCAAATCTTCCATAAAATATGGTTTAAGATGCCCATTTCATTCAAGAATGGTTTAAGTAGAGTCAATGGGCAAATTAAACCTATATTACATTCAATAAAATTTGACTTAATTTATATTTACAATTACTGTACAGAGATACGGAAATGATACAGATAATAATCGCACTGTACAATGTACCATATATACTTGCGTATAAGAGGGCGAAAATACAAATCGCAAAAGAAAACTCGGGGGTTGTCTTACACACGGGTCACCTTTACGCGAGTATATATGGTATACTGTATAATAAAATCATGCTTTCTTGTCTGCTAAGAAAGCATATGGTGACACCTGCTTTTAAATAAGAGTACTATGTCATTATGTAATTATATACCATATGACAAAACACTTTAAAACAATCATAGGCTTGTTATGGCTGAGTGCCTCCACAAGCAGGTCAGTTGTTTTTTTTTGCAACTGATGTATCAGAACCTAATAATTTATGGTTAAAGCATTAAATATGGCAAAGACATGCCAAACCAGTCAGTCACAAATCATGTTTCTGAGATAATGGACAAAACATGTTTGAATGTCAACATTTCTAAAATCTATTTTATTGTACTAAACTAACACTTATATATCTATACATCATGCTAAGTTCTTATTTTCCCTCACTTTCAACAATAAAAACAACATTTTTCAACGATTTGTTGATGGTCTCTGCCTGAGAATTCCCCCAAATCGTCAACTTTGAGGGATGATTTCTCAAATACTGTTATTTACACAGCTGTATGTTAAAACTCCTATAACTTCACAACAAAACATTGCATGTAAAAATGATTCTTTCACCATTTTAACACTTTCATTTTACTGTTTAACCCTGTATTCATAACTAAAAATTGATTTTTTGAGGATTGACTGGTTTGGCCTGTCTTCGCCACAAACACACTATTAAAAATAATAATAAAATAAAAATTATTAGTTGTCCAAAGTATATATAATTTTTAAGGGACAAACACAGATACAATACCATAAAATAATGCTAGAAAGTTGATAAAAATGGCATAATACTGTAGTATCTCAAATTTCAGAAGAAATTATCAAAAATACAATAAAAACATATGTAGCACCAACAGAAAATGCTTTAAAACCTAAGCAGAATAAATAAGGTTATATCGGGTTTATATGGTTTTCATAAGGTTAGTATTGGTTGCTCCTGTTACAAATTATTAAGGTGCCCTGAAATGAAGGGATTGTATGGGGCTTAACAAATACAAGCCCATTACATAATTCATTATTTTATGAATTACATGCGAGTGAAAACTGCATGAAGCAGAAGATCCACAGCATGAGGACGCTCTTTTGGATTACTGTCCAGGCACCGCAGCACTAGATCACGAGCGGCAGGACTAAGGACGTCTGGGACTGGAGGTGGTCCATTGGCACTTGCAATCTATGAAAGAAGAGTAGAAATTATCTTTAAAGTTGTATATAAATGCATGAAAACGTTATAATATAAACTACAGTATTTTATAACAAAATATACCTCTAAATAAAATTTATTGAATGTAATAAGTTAGAAGGCCTAAAAACAGAAGATTCTACGTTTCTGCTGAAAGCAATTTTTTTGCGAGAACCCCATCTAAAAAACCAGATCATTGCTTCAAAAAACCAGCAAAATTATGATGAAATTTACTATTTTTACATGCTAAGAAGCTTCAGCTTCGAAGTATTTCACCCCGAAACTCCCAAGAACTTATCTCTGATACACTACGTTCACCTAGACATCAGACTTTTAAAGGAAGCTCCCTTAAGCAATCCTAGTTATGGGCCTGATTAGATGTGCAGACTATTCAGTATATCATATTGTTTTTGACAAAAACAAAAACAAACATTTTTGATGTCCATATACAGTCATGATGTGTTTATATATGGTCATGATATGTGATGTCATATGACCATATTTAGCCATGTCAAATTCGATAGTCTAGAGAGGGCTTTTACCTTGAAGATAAGTTTGAGATGGTTAGATATGTCAGCTGCATCCCACGGTGGTTTGGACGTGATCATTTCAATCATACAGCACCCAGCGCTCCAGATATCACATGCTCGCCCATATGTTTCACCCTGCAAAACCTAAAATGCATATAAAAAAATGTTTAATATTTTAATTAGCATAAAACAATGTTAGCATTTGTTATGCAATAAAATACACTTTATTTGATTGATATAGTTACCTCTGGAGCCATGAAGGCAATTGTTCCAGTCAGCTGACCTGTGAACTCTCCCGCTCCGGTGAGGTGTGACGCCATTTGGGCAGCTGTTCCGAAGTCAGCTAGACGAAGGTGCTGACCAGTGCTGTCAACCAACAGATTGGCACCTAAGGAGGGAAGTTGGGTAACACATCACTCTCTAAATTTGAATATTGTTTACGCAAGTTCAATTCTATTATCAAGCATAAATGTGACCGGCTCTAGAAAAAAACCCGCCGTTTGTCGCAATTTGTAATTTCCCACAAATACCCAAAACTTTCAAGAATCAGAATTTTGAATATTTTCATGTTCATGTTCTTGCAATTTATAAAAGGAGATATATTGAAGAACATTTCTGCAAAATATCAATTACTAAATCTAACTGAAAAGTATATTAAAATCATTTTTGAAATACAAATCTTAATAATAAACTACTGATTTTGGAATCTTTTGAAGCTGTCTTCTAAAAACTTACATGGCTGATATCCAATTAATTAAATATTCATAACTTCGCTAATATTCAGCCATTTTCCTTAAAAAAAACACTGTTCTAAAGAATTCATGCAGAATTTACAAACACCAACAACTTATTTTTTTAATTTTTCCTACAAGTGGCCACGGTTTTGCCACAGCTGGTCACAAATATTATCCTAATTCTCTAATTCATTTTCGTTCCCCTACCTTTCAAATCACGATGTATAATGTATTTTTGATGAAGGTAACCTAAACCTCTGAAAATCTGTTTAAGGTAGCCAATGCAAACAGCCTCTCGGAAGGCACCGAAGGATGACAAAATGGATGCAATTGAACCGCCGGGCATCCATTCTGTGAACATGTTAAAGTGGCCATTATGCTTGGTGGCGCCAAGAAGGCGCACAATGTTTGGATGGTCCAACTTGGAGAGCAGAGAAATCTCTTCTACCAGCGTGTCCACAACTTTATCCTGTTCCGTGACTGTATTTCGTATAAAAGAAACCTGCAAAAAAAATAGATTATATTCTTACAAATTCTGAAATCAAATTAATAATTCAGATTCAATTAAAAGGACAAATCTATATATTAACCTTATGCAACTAATGTAATGTTTATTCTAAATGTGGATGTGTTTTATAAAAAAAAAAAAAAATAGAAAAATAAAGAAATAAAAAATCTTGAATGTAGTGTATACAAGGCTCCCCAGTCTACCGAACTTCCACAAGCATCAAGAGACACCCAAAAAAATAACCCACCTTCCGCAAATTTATAATATTTGCATATTTTCACTGCTTTATTATCAATTGTCTCATGAAAGTCAGTGCCAATGGGTATTCACTATGTGTATCAAATAAAATAAAATTGGTTAAGAAAGCTTATTATCCAGATCAGTGACAGAATCAAGAAAGGGAGGGGTGGGGACAGCCAGTCTGACAGATGTTTCTTCAAGAAGCCTAATATAAATCTCCACTACTAGGAGATATGAGTGATAAACAATAATAAAATAAAAGATACATACTTGTTTAACAGCCATAATGGTTCCAGTTTGCATGTCACAGGCTTTGTAACACGAGGAGAATGCCCCGGTTCCAATCAGCTCACCGCGAGACCAATGCTTCCCTTCTATGTATTGATCCTTGTTAGCAATGTCCTAGAAAAATATAAATCAAATATTGAATAAAAATATCCGAAAATTGGAATAATGCAAATAAAGGTTATTCACTAAATTGTTCTTAACTATATGAATAAATCTAAAGTAACTAACTCGATTCAATTAGTATATTCTATTGTTGATTGAAAATAATTACAAGCTTATAAACCATTATTATTACTACTTTATATTATTTGTTATTGTTATAGGAGATATGTGCCAGAAAACACAAACCTCATTTCGTAGATGAATGACAATATCTTGATTTTCTTTGCTGAGGGTCAATCCAGGAACAACTGGCAGTGTGCTTTGGCCAAGAGATGTCTCCATGGCAGCGACAATGGCCTCGGCTTCCTCTAGTTCAACCTTTTCTTTGCAATTTCCAAACTTTACAGGCTTATCCTGGTACTTGATCGATTCCGGAGAGTGAGATGGAGTAGTAATCTCAGTCGTAAATGTCACAGGTTTCTCACAAGGTGACGACGGTGACAATGACATGTCCGAAAAGTCTCCCGTCACACTTGTTCGGTTACAAGGACAAGTTTCTTTGTCCTTCTGTGATGATGAAGAAGCACATGCCCCTTGTGGAGATGCACATCCACGCTTTTCCCTACTTGATGATCGCTTTTTTTTAATGTTTAAGAGAGGTATTTGTGATTTCTCAGAGCTCTTTGTATTGGTTCGTGACTTACTCTGTTTTATCTGTGCATTCTGTGTTGTTTTTCTACAATTTCGTCCATCATCAACACTTCCACAAGAACATTGTGATGATACTGATTCACAAACTCTGTTAATTTCAGAGTTTTCCGTTACACCATCAGCAGTGCTGTTACATTCTATGTGAGCAATATATGAAGCTTTCTCATATACTTTTTCATAATCGTCAAGTATTTTGCGTAAACGATTGTCAAGTCTCCCTCTATCTTGTGGTTCGAGCTCTGCCATGAGATCAACAACTTTATTGATGATTTTCATGTCATGGACAACACTACGGGTAACTATTGTGAAAATCCTCCTGGCCAGTTTACTGACAATCATGTGTGTATGACCGACAACTTTGAAGACAAATTTTAGAATAGTCATAATATGGTCTTCGCTTAAACTCTCATTTTGTGCGCTTACAGTGAATTCTGAAGGAAACTTGTTAAACAGCTCATTGATAGTGTTCAGTCGGCCTAACCACCACTGCCAACCAGTTCCATCCACAAGCATTGTAGACAGAAAATAGTCCACACACCATATAGCTATCATTCCATTTTCTAAAAATAATAATTTTATAAAACATTATAATACTGTATATGTCTCAATGTCTGTTGTAGACTGATAGCGCAATTAAAAAAAAAAGGATAACAATAATATAATAGAATAATTAATTCCTATTGTATATATATACTGTCTGCACAAGAAACCTGTTCCTGATGCCCATTTTGTGAAATTGTGAGGTAGAAAAAAGATTGCCAACCAAATAGCTGTGAAATTGAATGCGATGGAACTGCCTTTTTGTTGAATTAACTGCACAACTATAAATACTCTCTACGGAGATAGCACATGCATTTTGAATGGCTGTTTATGTACAAATAACCAGTGGAAATAATTACCTGTGCTTTCAAATACTATGATACTAGATAGATCATTATAAACACTGGGCTAGTATTAACCTTGTTATAGTTACCTATGAATACATAATAGCAAATGGGGTATAAAAACATTACATTTGCACTGCAGGCAGGCAGGCATCTACAATATTATTTTACAAGTGATATCTGAAGTTGCCTTTTGATACATTAATAATGAGACTTACCTGGATTTTGAATGAGTCTGCCTATAGCTAGCTCACCCTCCTGACCTTTGCAAAGTTCAACAATAGCTGAAACAGATAGCTGACTTGTCCGCCTTTAAGAAAAATAAATAATAAAATATTACAGTTAGTTACACCTGTTATTTTTTTTTCAATTATATTTTTAAAATTTATTATTACATTTTTTATTTATTTTTTTTAAATTTTAAGTCTGAATACCTTACCTATTACTGTCAGCACATTTCAGAAGTATAGCCTCCAAAACAGGCTTTAAATGCTGTTGTAAAAGGTTTTTCTTATTTTCTGTAAAGCATGTTTCATTTGAGATGATACAACGCAACATTTTCTATAAAAAATAAGAGAAAGAAATACATACACATAAATTTTATTTGAAGTACTGTAGTTGTAAAATATACCAGCAAATTATTGCCTGTTGAGTATGATTATTTATTTATTTGTTAGTGTATATAGCACTTTTCTTTGCAGATACAAAGTATTTCTTTCCCAGCTTTATAAGTCCATATACTTAAGTGTTGCTGCTATAATCAGCACAAAGGAGAGCAGCCCATCCAGGTACCCATTTATATTCTTGGGTGGGGAGAAGCAATGCAGATAAAATGCCTCGCTCAAGGGCACAAGCAAAATGCACAGCACGGTATTGAGACCCCGACCTCAAGGCAGGGTTACAAACTTTCCTGCACCTTTCCCGCTGATCGGATTGCGATAAAAATCACCAAAACAACCATTCTAAAAAACTGAGCAGTTTTGAATATCTAAAGCTTGTCTAAACAAAGAAGTCAATGTTTAAGGTGCCTACTTTGTACATAATGAATCATTTATAGTTTAATCAGAATAATACAATCTTTTCACACATTTTTATGTGATAAAGTCTTGCGATATGTGCATACTGTATTCATATGACACCATAATGCCCATATATGGGCAAACAACAAAGATCTGTCCAGACTATCAAATTTGATTTAACAAAAACTTGTGACATTCCTAAATATGGTCATGATGACATCACACCATGAATATATATAGGCACATCATGACTATAATATGGGCATATAAACTAGATCAAACTTTAAATAACACAAACAAATGAGGTCAAATTACCAATGAAGAGACATAAACTTTATAGACAGGGTCTTCGCACATGACAGCCACAATGTCCAAACCAATCTCTGTCACTTCTCTCAATTCCTGGTCATCTGCATGTGGTCCAACTGTGTCACTGGCACCCGCTTGAAGTACATTGCGTATGTGATGACTTATCTGGTGTAGTGAGACTTCACGCAATGACCATTCGCGAGAGAAAAGCCCACTCACAAGGTCCTCTCCAATAACCTATGGATGAAGGAATTTTTAGGTTTGTACAGACTTATAATCATGATGTACAATGAGGTAGGTAGTGTTTTGCAAACTAACGGAAATTTATGAAAAAACCCTTATGTATATGTCTGTCCCTAATGCGCTGTCCACCTCAGTTTTATTATCAAAAGCATGTCAAATTTTGATAATAATTTTCTGAAGATATGGACAATATTCACCATATTTAACAATAGAATAGAAAGAAATGATGTTCATTCCACAGATATCAAGGTTCATTCTCAATATACTATACAGCATTTCAAAGGTCAAACTGAACTTAGAATAACACAGTATGTCTAACTTGGGTGTAAGCCTACAACATATAAGTATTACAAAAATTATTCTTACTTTAGTCCAAGTTGTATACTGGGCTTTGTAAAGAGCTGGGACATTACTGTTGACTGTATCAGTTGCTGTGAGCATTTGTGTAGGAGATATTTGTCTAGCATTAAGAGATTCTGGGGAGGTAGTAGTCGTTGTATCGTCACTGCTCACTGGTACAGTCCATTTAATACGACACAGAGGGCAGCTCAAAGACTCATTCTCCTTACTACAGTTCTCAGCCCCTGAAAAAATAATATATTAAATCAATTTTCTACCATTGGAGCATAAAAAAACAACCATTCAAATATTATTGATCGAGTTCCTAGTCCACATATCAAGCGCCCTGAGCATCTTACATTAGATGGATATGTGTGCTATATAAAACTACACTATTACTACCGTACTCGCAAGTATAAACGCCTCGTTTGAATAAGTGCCCTTCTTAACGCGAAAATTGTTTTAAGCACCCTGTTTAAACAAGCGCCCCTCAAAAAGAGACAAAAATATTTTAAGTGCCCGGGCACTTATTCGTGTGAGTACGGTAAATAACAAATTAATTTTTGAAGGGTTAGTTTTTTTAAAAATAAAAATAAAAAAAATTAAAAATAATCAAATGTTAAATAAAATACTGATATTATTTACAGAACTTACATATCATTACACAGTGATGGTGTAGTCTGTTATGGCAGCCATCTTGGCAGATCACTAGGCTTTCTCCTTCAATCATTTCAAGAAGACATATTGGACAGGTTTCCTCATGGCCACTGAAAGGATGAAAACACATGGTTACAATATGAAGACCCAGATCAACACAGGCAAACAAAAAAATATATAATTTTAATCAACTTAGATGTGGGGATGAGAGAGTTTCTGACAATTTTTGGTGCTGCCATGGTAGGAGCCCGGGTGGGCACCCTAGAAAGCTGGTTAATTTATGGCCATTTTAAGCTGGAGACCTTTTAGACTATAAAAATGTGTATTTTTTTTTCATTTAAAAAAAGGATGAAAAATCCTTTTCCTTTTCGGTCTGATGAGCTGTAAAAATGAATACATGGTCTGATTAACTTTTGAAAATGGCGTTCTGGTTTGGAGGTTAAAAGTTCACTTCAAAGCCAAAGTCAAAGTCAAAGTATTCTTTATTCATCCAAGAGGAAATTACATTGCTTGTGCAACATTACCCCTAGGTAATTATAGAAATACACACGTTCAACTGCACAGTTATCAATCATGACACTTGCTATAGCGGGTTTAATTTTTTGATAATCCACTAGCATTTCTTTAGTTTTACTACAATTTAGAATCATGTGGTTTCTTTTACAGTATTTAACAAAGATCAATTTCACCTCTATAGTATATCGTCATCTTTGACAATTAGACCAATCAGAGCAGTATCGTCTGCAAATTTAATTAAAGGCCAGCTAGAATGATTTGAGCAGTAATCAGATGTGTACATTGTGAATAAGAATGGAGCAATGACAGTACCTTGTGGTGCTCCAGTATTTGTTACTATGGAATTTGATTTAACCTCAGGACTTAGTTTAACATATTGCAAGCGATCAGTCAAAAAATTAAATACAAATGATATAACTGAATGTGGTAAATTTATTTTAAGCAACTTCTGAACCATAATATGTGGTTGGATGGTATTTTCCAATCCTAAGTTCATTCAATTCTAATGATAGAGTTTAAGTATTTTTTACACAACTAAAAACAATGCACTACCTAAGCCATATAAAGAGGCTGTAAGTAAATGGTCAGCTTTTCTAGATAGATCACTGTCCATTAATTATTGTATAAAAAATACTTACTTGTGCTCACTACTACATGAGGACCTACTGTCCAGGCTATCAGTAGATCCTGTAAGCTCAAGGTTTTCTAGTTGGCCTGATTCCTTTCGATTGACGTTAGGCTTCTTTAACTTTCCCTTCCTTCGATCCAAATACCGCTGAACTAAATCTTCCACCTAGAATAACATGATAGACAATTACCTTCAATTAATAGTCAAAACTGTTGAGTCTGTTATCAATTGAATTCAATTGTATATTTATTGCAATCAATTCTGAAATGCGTATCTTCTTTTCATTTCAACCAGTTGTATTTCATATTTTTCACATACCTCATAATTTCTCAATGTCTTACAGAGGAGCCGTGGGTCATTTTCTTGGACTTGGAACATGCGTAGCATCACAAACAAAACATGAACACAAAATTGTCCTTTATTACAACTACAGGTCTGCAAAAAAAAATATTGCATTTAGGCAGGGCTCGATTTAGTACTAGCCCGGTGTACAATGTCTAGTAAAAACCGCTCCGGGCTAGTCTATTTACTCCTGATGTTGCCCGGTTGTCTAGTGGAGAATTAGCAAGAAAAACATTTAAAAAAAAACTTAAAAAAACATGGAACTGTCGAGACAATCCCTGCACAAGAGGTACCGCAGCCCAGAGAGAACACTCTAGCTAGAGTTCAGCTCTCCACATGCGCGAATGTTGAATTATTAAGATGATCCCCAAGTCATTCACCAACCACTACAGGATGGCATGTTATCTCTCTCTCAACAGAAGATCGTTTGATCGTTGAATCGGGTTAATTTTTTACATACTACCTTTTATTCATATTATTTTCTCATAATGATATTTATAAAGTGTTCAACTTTTAATAATTAAGTAATTCAATGCTATAGGAAGCTAGGCTAGCCTAGGCCCTGGGTCTTGTTTAGGCCTAGGCCAAGGTAGCCTAGTCTAGCCTAAGCAAGATTTATTGCCATTGTGGGGGTGAGTGACTTGAGACCTGAAGATTTAACAGATGCATTGGTTTGATTGATTTCTGGGCCCTTTGTTAAATATTAGAATGCCGACATTATAACCAGGGAGATGCAAAACATGCTCATCTGTCCCTGTTAGTGTTATAACCAGAGTTGATTTTGCAGCATGGGAGATTTTTTTAATTTATTACACTAATTTGAGGGGGTAGCTCAAACAGCAATGCTACAGAAATTATTAAATTGCAAATCAACCTTCAAATTTAATTGTCGCTAATAAATATTTTGAAACAAAATGTTTTCCTGTTTGTGGGCTAGTAAAATAGTCTGTGGGCTAGTAAAATCTCTAGTAAACTAGCCCAGTGGGCTAGTTAACAAAAAAAGTTAGGGCAAGCCCTGATTTAGGTAATTTAACTAATTAACCATTCTTAGGAACTGTTGCTGAGGTACCAGAAAACAACGATATAAATATTTGAGTTGAAGCACTTATAGGACAACATGTGAGTTTGAGGGGCAAGCACAAACTCCAGGCCTTGCTCTCATTGGTCAGTTAAGTTCAACTGACACAGTATAAATTTAGCAGTACAGAAAGTGATCATCATCTTGATAATAAAAACTATATTAAAAGTTGGTTGAAGATATAAATTACACAAATCAATGATGATGTTGGCAGTCTATGAGTTAAACTTACCTGGATAAACTGACTAATTGTTTATTTATTTATTTAATTCCATTTAAATTTCGAGGGGTGTTCTATTTTGAAGAAAACAGGCAATTAGACAGTTTATCCAGGTAAGTATTCATGAAGTAAACTTCTATAACTAATGTCACTTGTCACTTGGGCATTTCAAATGACAATCTCTTACCTGTGGTCCTACCACCACTTTGTACTTGTGGTCAGGTGAGTCACCTCCGATAAGGAAGCATTTGGGACCGATTTGATGGAGAAGATAAAGCCGAGCATGCAGTGCTTTTTCTACCCTCTTTTTAAAGATTTCATCTGCAATGATTTGGTTGCCCTCCGAATGAGGAGATGGTGTTCTGCGTATCAACGTCGTTGGTGAGGACGGTCTGGAATTCTATAATCATCAACACAAAAGGTTGCCAATTTTATAAGGTAAATCAAGTACTGTACAAAAAATTGGGGTTTTTAAAATAGTTGATATTTTTTAATTACACACGTTATTTTAGGAGTGATGTTTTGACCTATCTGACGTGTTCACTTCAAAATAGCAAATTTAAATTGAAGTTACACTCATTATTTAAAAGACAAATATTATTAAAATATAAATGTGTACAAGCAGAGTGAAATTCGGTAAATATGGTCAGTTTGCCAGCATTGTTTCTAATTATTCTAGGGTTTTGGTTGGTAAAAAGGTAATCACTGAGCTAAAAGTGGCCTTCTGAAATAATTTGGATATAATTTATGTTTGTTTTGGTTTTAAACAAGAAGTCTACCCTAGATTTTCAAGAAATTGGTTGGGTCAGCAAGGCTTAGAAAAAAAGTTTCTTTAATTTTACTGAATGTTTTTACTATAAAACTTGTCCTAAACCTATTGATATATAACAACAATAATATTAATAACAATATCTTAGTGCATGTATAATCCCACAAATGAGCTGCTTATGGTACAATAATACAATGATGAAAAATTAGGTCAATAAAATAATGAATGAATCTTACAACTGGAGAGGTATTTCTCCTTCTGGAAATTCTTGGTGATGATGGAGAACCTGGTCTCCCGTTTACAACCTTTAAAAGACAACAAATTTTTGTTACAAATCTAAAATATCAGGCAACCAGTTTTAGACTTCCAGCAAGTACTGTATTTTAAAATATATCACCATCATTGCAGCTAAATTTATCGTAATGCTGTACCTTCCTATAATAAATTGACAAAAATTTGTTAAGAGTTTTGGGTTGGTAGGGAACCCAAGTCTAATACCAGTTGCGGGAGTGTTCCAGAAATTGAAACGGTCAGCAAAATTCCTTAAATCCTAGTGTCCAGACCATCAAATTTTATTTGACAAAAGACATGTGACATGCTTAAATATGGTCATCATGACATCACATCATGACAATGTATAGGCATCATGATTATACATGGGCAGGCAACAGTTTTTTTTGTCAAAGAAAAAAATAATAATCTAGCTAGACAAAACTTTATACAAGAAGGTGAGCTTTAAACTATAGTAGGAAAAATAAATACAAAACATCATAAAATCTTGCTTCTAACAACACTTCTGCAGCTGTAATAAATGATTAACAAATGCTATACAGTATCAATTACTCATCTACTAAAGTGGTCAATAATTTTTTACCTGTTGTTTAAAAGGTGAATCCGAGTGTGGAGAAGGAGACCTGCGTTCACCTGCAGCGACATTTAGTCGCTCCATAGACCCCAGCGACGCTGAGGATCCCGCAAGATTTGGCTTTACAACCTAATGACGAAACAAATATCAAAATATTACATATGTGACAAATAAATGTAAAATGTCCATATTTAGGTGTAACATCACATCATCATACAGAGCTTTAAAGTAATGAGCAACAAAATAAGTTTACTTTGACTTTTTACAACTATTTTATTTACTAATTATTTTTTTTATATCTACAGTACAGTTGCTTGTTTAAAAAAAAATATTTGGTCAGATATATGAATGTCTTAATGTAATTTAAATAATTTAATTTTGGAAATTTAAGTTACGAATATTTAATGATTTTTTTAAAACATTATATAATTTCATCTTGAAGTAGTGCAGTAGTGGCAACTTAGCTTATGCTGCCAAAGATTTTGTACCTTATTAAACTAAATTCTAATTGAAATTTTCACATCATGCAATCTTTAGGTAAATAGCATCCATAGAATTAATGATGTGAAAATTGTTTGTTATATGTGTATTACATTATGTTATAACAATGAACTTAATAAATAGTCAAAATAAATATAAATATGACTTGTAGTCCATGCAATAAAAAAATTAAAACAATATTTTTACCATTGGTCCTTTGATTTGTTTTTCTTTACATTCTTTTTTCTTCTGGACTGGCATTGAGCGTAGTTTTTCACGGATATGTTGTGGATCCCAGCGTTCACTGCCACGGGATAGCCACCGTGTATCCTTCTCTGGCATCATACTGGAAAAGATAAATAAACAAGAAAATAAATGTACAGGTTGAATGAAAAACCATTTTGCAAATTTCTACATGTACCTTCTAACGTTGAGATAAAAAATAAATTCATAAATTGAATGGAAAATCTTTATAGAAAATTGTTACAATGCATCTTGCAATGTAAAAATGCACCAATATTTAATAATCAAATCTACAGTAAACAGAAAAAAATCACTGATCCTTGTAAAGTGATTAACAGGAGCCCCAAATATTGACACCAGTATACTCTGTGTGTACATGGTTGTGGTGACGATGGCATCTCAACATCAGGAGTGCATATTTTCAATTCTATTTTTATTGCGGTTTATTTAATGCAATTTTTGGCCGCCGTCGGACTTCATTACATAAACGGCTTGTTTGTTTATGTTATCCTATTTTATTTTTATTTTATTTATTTATTTATTTATTTATTTTTTTTTGTTTTTCAATATGATTAATGAATACAGTCAGCATGATGAGACAATTTTATTAAGGAAGGTACCGTACTCTACAAATATTCCACTTACCCTACCACCATTACGTATATCTATATGAGTTTTTTATTATTTTTTTTTATTTAGCTCATGATTTAATCAACATAGTTTATCAATCATAACATTAATAACTACAATTTTCAGAACAGGTACAGTAGTAAACTTAATTATTTTGAGTTGTAAACCATGACACGAAGTGTGTATAGGTACAGGTAGACAGAGAGAGGATAAAAAGCACTACAACAGATATGAAACCTTGTAAACAAGTCTGAACAATAATAAACTCACCGAGAGAAGCAATAGACTGGTGAGCTCCTACGATAATCATTGCAAATTTTCAATTGAGAACTAATGTTGGTAGGCCTATTTTTAATTTTGATTTTCCACTCAAAATAACAAACTAATATTTCTATTTTTGTATCCTTTCTCATTCTGCATTCATCCAACTTTACTAGTAAATAATATTATGTTGGTTGTTAATATGGGTGGGTATCATAATTTCAGTTTCAAAATATATATTCAAAATATGTATCCTATACCATAAAAGGTAATCTATAAAGATACTATAGGAATACGATCACTTCCTTTCATTAGATCAATCATGTGACAATCCAGGTTTACAGGCATGCTTCCTGTTGTCATACTATAGTGTGATTTTAATACAAGCTAAAGTATTCTAAAGGACAGTTGGTTGAGTACAATCCATATAAGTAATTAGGAACCGTTTCAGGGGTACAACAAACACCAACAAAGAGGTTAAAGCTGTGCCCATGTTATTCCTTTGTGGCTTACCTGTAAGTACTGTGTGTATTGGGATCAACACTGACCCTACTTTGAAAATGTCCTACACTACAGAGGAAAGAAGCTATTGAATCCTAATATAGTACCTTAACATTTTTTTACAATTTGTAACTTATTTGATCAGATGTTAACTCACCCAGTACTACACATGTTTCAGCTACGTTCCCCTGAATAAATAAATGATTCTAGTACCGCCCAAAATTCAAACATCAGTTGACATTTTAAATCCAACTGTAACAGTTATTAGCAATGAGCTGATAAGGTAAACTGTACCATACAGTATGACTCATCAACTGTGTTACCCACGTGAACAAATTACCCGCCAAAACGAACAACAATGAAGTTAAACCTTACAAGTGATTAAATAAACGCCCACACACCTAACTATGCCAAGTACTGAAAACATCAAGTTTATTCTATAATAGAATTTTGAATAAACACAGATACTGTATGACAAAAATAGATAGAGTAATCATAGAGTCAGAACTGCAGAATGCTCATAATAGGCCTACAGTACGTTTACAATGCTACAATGCTTTACAGATAACATTGCATTGTTCATGGTTACTAATGGTTACATCAACCAATAAATTAATTTGTTCAAATACACTACAGTAGGTATATTAAAGTATTGCCTGTAGCTTTATATAGTAGTAACATTGTGGATCCATCAATCAATCAATCAATCAATCAATTTATTGGAAGCATTTGCCACATCCATACAGAAAGACATCACAGATAATACTTAATACTGTTGGTACTTTAAAAAAATTTAAATATAAATAAAATGAATAAATAACTAATGAAAACAATAATTTGATGCAATGTGATTTAATACAATTTACATGGTTAGACCAAAAAATATAAGAATTTGAATTACACAAAAACTAAATCAGGAGGTATCACTGACAAAAATAGGCCTACTCCAAATAAGTAGAGACATATAATTTTGATCAATATTTAATAATTAATTAGATCATCATCACGAATGATGATCTATAGTAGCCTACTGTAAATATTTAGATTTTTTAAAATGAATCGCTGGAGTGTCCATCCTTTGAATTCAAAGAAGTATTTATAGTACGTCTGAATAAAAATGTTAAGCACGGATAAAAATCAAAATAAACCATCCTAAAGCATTGAAAAATAATTTGAATTGGTAGTATTACTAGTACAGTACTACAGTAGATGTTTAAAGCATTTTAAGGTCCTATGGAATAAAAGATTACACCTACTACACTACTGTATGCCTGAGATCCATATAGCACACATTGTTGTTTATGTTTGAACACCAGGGCTTAAACAAAGATAACTCAGACCAATAGAGTAAAGATTAACCACTCTATATGATTAGACTAAAGTTCAAATTTAATCCAAATAAAAACAAAATATTTTTTTTCTTTAAATAAAAATTTAATAAATCAAAATTCTTTTGAAATGAGATATATTAACAATTTAAAAAATAGATTCTTTGAAATTTTAGACCTTTTGTCTTAATTTTTCTTTATTTTCCTTTTCTTGCTATAAAATCATTATTTATTTTCATTTAAACACCAGATAAAAAATATCACTATCTAATACTGTATAAGGCAAGCCTATTATAATTGAAGTGGAATTTCTATAGATTATTATAATTATATTAGTTCAGTAAAACAAGCATTGTTTCTTATGTACTCATAAATTAGATACAGAAATCTTACATCATGGTATAACACAATGGTTGCTATGGTGATAAGGGTGTACAGTTCATCTACCAATCAATAACAATTCACATGCTCGGATTCGTGACAAGTCGAGAAACTGAAATTATGTTCTAATTTAATTCACACAACTAGAAGGCTATCACAATATCAACAGTGGATTGATGGCTATCAAATTGAATTAAAGCCCTTGTTCTCTGGTGTATAATTACCATAAGCTGGATCTAACAAAATTTCACTTAGTCAAAGAACATCCAGACAGTGTAATAAACATCCAATTGAGTAATCACCCTTAATTAAGCAAATAAATTAATTAGTGTACAGTAACTGTAGGAAGTTAAAGCAAGCGGAACCATCTCCACATTAGGCATACTCTAATAATAACAATTTTTTGTCACTTTATTAAACAATTAGAAGTCAGTATAATTAACTGATTACTTTATGGAATTCTAATTAAAGGTTGCTATTATTTTGCTAATTTTTAAATAATTCTAATTTATAGATATGTGGCAAAAACAAGCCAAACCAGTCACTCGTCGCAATTCAAATCATGTTTTGGGAATAATGGCCAAAACATGCTGGAATGTCAACATTTTTGAAATCTATTTTATTACACTAAACTAACCTTTATATCTATCATGCTATGCTGTAATATTTTCCCTTTCAATTTTAAAACAACAATTTTTAATGATTTGGTAATGATGTCTGCCTGAGAAATTGCCCAAAATCATAAACTAGGCTTATTTCTCAATTGTTCTTAAACAGCTGTATGTATGTTTAAACTTCTGTAACTTTATAACGAAATGTCGGATTTGAATGGTTCTTTGATTCTTTTACCATTTTATAGCTCTCATTTTACTGTTAAACCCTGTATTAACAAATAAAAATAAATGTTTGCGACAAGTGACTGGTTTGGCTTGTCTTTGCCACATATTATTTTATGTTTTATTTATTTCATTTAGGTACACAATGTGCAAAGGATTATCAAAAACAAATATCCAGTAGTACACTATTATAATTGACAATCCCTTTCACAAGGCAAACATACATGCAGTGCTTTACACAAACTAATATAAATTATGCTTATGGAATGGAGTTGATTTGGACACTGAGAAAAAATCCTGCAACATTGACAAGAATTGAACACGGGACACTGAGATTGGCAGGCAAGCATCTTAACCACGAAGCAACTCCACTCCACTAAAAAAAAAAAAAAAAAAATCCTTGATGGACATACGGTTTAGCCAACTACAGTACAATCTAATTAGGCCTTCAGCATTAAGATAATATCAGTAATGCACAGTATGATTAATAAGCAAAAAAAAAAAAAACATTTTTAAACATTAATAGGGGTGATACTTTGCAAAGCATTTCCACAATGGACATACTTTTCTTAAGGCCTTACAGTACATTACAAAGTTGGATAATTGATCCATTATTAATAAAACAACAAATTACAGACTACTGATAGCTATTAGAAAAAAATTAATTCAATTTCAAACGTACATTGGAATACCAATTTTTCTTCCCAATTGAATTGGGTTGAGCTCTACCATGGGGGGTTTGGGCAACCTCTCACTAAATGAGGAACCTGCCATCCTGCAATTAGACCCTATAAAAAATATGATTAGTTTATCACCCTATCTACAGTAGGCTGGAAAAGTGACGAGGGAGGGAGGCTGTCTTTGTTATTCTTTTTTGCTAAGTCGAGTATCATCCTTGGGTTGTTTGCTAGTGCACTGATATTCAAAATAAAACATGATTGCTATAAATACAAACAATACTTACTAAACTATTAAATAAAAAAAAAATAAAATAAAAATAATTTTGTTCAAAAACTGTTTTTCTTTTTATATTTATTTTTTCAAAAATATTTTTTGTTCAGTAGAATAGAACATATGCATGCAAGGGTGAAAAACTGATAATTTGTTTTTATTGGGCCTTACGGTGTACGGTAAGAATGGCCCCGGAAAATAAACAAATTAAGGTTCTCGTAAAATAAGGTGTAACTGTAGTTTCTGATTACATAACTAAATATACAGTATTTAAATATTTGAAGATTAAAAAAAATATATACATTATCATTTCTATTACCAAATTTTTCATTGGAGCCATTTTTACCTACCTGTCATATGGGGCCATTTTTACCGGGGCCATTTTTTCCGGGGCCATTTTTTCCGGGGCCATTCTTACCTACATTCGGGCCTTACCTTCCTAACTCTGTAGCAGGCCTACAGCAGAACACTAAACATTATGTTTTTGACAAAGGCCTACAGTATTGCTTGCAGATTTATAACACATTATCAAATGTTGACATTAATACAACAGGTACCCGATGAAGACCTGTTAAAGTATGACTCACAGAGACATGGCATGATTGCCAGTAGGCGTTGTTAGAAAAGCGCTTCAACTCTTCATCAGTTAAAGTGCATGAAATTGATCCATGTTATGTATCCAGTGCACTCAAGCCATCAAAACACAAATAATTGTAACTGATTAAAATTGATAAATTAAAAAAGCTGCAATCTCAAAATCCTCTTAAGTATTCAAAGCCATCATCTTATCAGGCCAATTATCTGTAATTTCAAATCAATTAATTGTGATACATTAGAGATGCTACATAAAAACAACCCTTAGAAAAAGTATGAAATATTCAAAAGATGCAGTATGATTCCTGAGTTTCACACAGCAATAAAAAGAAAATATTCAAAATTCTATAGGCCTACAGTATTCTGTTATTAATCAACATTTTCATTAGTTACCGGTAATAAAATTATGATGTATTGTATAGAAAAGGTGCAATGTAGCTGAACAATATTAATTAATGGAAATTTTTGTGATAGTTATAATAAGTTTTGTATACTGTAATACTGATATTGATATTTTTTTGACAGGTTAAATGTTTTTAAATCTAAGGTTGTGTACTTGTTAATGTATTTTTTATACATAAACAATTTATATTTGTTTTTGTATTTATATGTATTTTAACCTGCCAGTGGCGATTGTTATCGCTGTTGGTTAAGTACAAATAAAATAATATAATAAATAACAAAAATATGATACAATGTAGTAAAACTTATTAGTTGAGTAAAAAAAAATTTCAGTGGTCAATTCCAATAGGTATGCAGTACAATATTTTCAACTATTGTACTGTACACCTCCCTGTATGTGAATATTTATGCAGATGCCGAGAAAAAAAGAGCTACCTACTGTACAGTAAAATGTACTGTACTATCACAAGTATCTGTCGATGTCTGTATGTAAGCTGTGTAATTTACCCCTCCAGCTAAAATTGTTTAACACAAAGTATAGTAAAACAAACACAATCAATGATACTGTACTGTACTTGCGGTAAAGCAAATTCTACTTCACCTCAAATCATGTTGTATTGTATTTTTTTTATCAATTTCACTGAAGTACAAAGTACAATCATGCAATGTGTCAACATTAATGTCAAGAAGATTTTTGTATTTACTGTATGTGTTGCCATTAAACTATAGCTCTCCAAAATTTAAGATCCAAACAGACCTTTAAAGGCTGATTAATTTAGTGTCAAGTGTGCCAAACTGACAAAAAAGACCACA